CCCTTCGCGCCGCGCTTGCGCGCTGTGACCTTTGGGGGCTGGACATGATCTTAGGGGGCTGGCAGTGACCTTTGGGGGCTGGACGTGTCCTTAGGGGGCTGGCAGTGACATGTGGGGTGCTGGCTGCTGTGCCCACCCTGCCTGCAACGCCGGGGACGTGGGGGACAAGGCAGGGGACGTGGGGTGGCCCCCTCAGGGTGCGATGGGGCAGGTGACACCGGTGCCCTTCAGGTGACAGGAGCCCCCGGGCACCTTGTGCAGGTACTGCTGGTGACGGTCCTCGGCGTAGTAGAAGTCCCCGGCCGGCTGGATGGCAGTGGTGATGTCCCCCCGCCGCCCCTCCCTCAGCTCCTACGACAGTCCCACGATGGGGGGACACCAGGATGGACCCCCCCCATCCCACCTCCCCACAGCATGGCATCGCCAGGGCAGGGGTTTGCCCTGTGCCGTGGGGCTGGGGGAGGTGGTTGGTGTCCCCAAGGGGATCTCAGTGTCCCCAGGGGGGTCCTGGTGTCCCCAAAAAGGGGTTCCCCCCTGTCCCCCCCTACCTGCTGGTACAGTGTCCTGCTGCGGAGGGCGGCTGCCTGCTGCTGGGGGCCCAGGGTGAAGATGACGGAGCGGTACTGGGTGCCCAGGTCCTCCTGCTGCCTCATGCCTGGAATTTGGGGGGGCAGCACCCAGGAGGGGGTTACGGGGCACCCCCCGGCCCCACCTGGCACAGTGAGGTGCTTTCACCCACCGAGGGTGAGATGGGGAAACTGAGGCACGGGGGGTTGGTGAGAGAAGTCTCTATGAGCCCCCTCCACCCGGCGTCAAGGGATGGAGATGCCCCTGTTGGGGGGCTTTGGGGTTACCCCCACACAAACCGGGGGTCCCAGGGCGGACCCATGGCCACTGTCCGGCCCCGGTGGCTCGTCCCTACCTTGTGTGGGGTCGTGGTTCTCCCAGAAGAGTTTGAGGAGCTCCTCGTAGCTGATCTTCTGGGGGTCAAAGATGACCCTCACCACCTCAGCGTGCCCCGTCAGCTCCCAGGGCAGACCCATGGCCACTGTCTGGCCCCGGTGGCTCGTCCCTACCTTGTGTGGGGTCGTGGTTCTCCCAGAAGAGTTTGAGGAGCTCCTCGTAGCTGATCTTCTGGGGGTTGAAGATGACCCTCACCACCTCAGCGTGCCCCGTCAGCCCTGCGGCGAGAGCCAGTGCTACCAGGGGCAGCCCCCCACTGTGACCCCCCCTGCTCTCCCCCC